CTCTTTCCCACTGAGTAAACTAAGCATTTATTGCCATTACTTCTTATAGTTAAAGCAATTCTTTAACTGTAAGATTTTTTTTTCTCCCCTTAAAATACAGCAGTTGGGTTTCTTTAAGACCTCTTGGTGTGGAGCTTTGCTGAAATCCATTTCAAATCCAAGTAGACAATTTCACTCTGATCAATTTTGTTTACTTCTTAAAAGAACTTTAGGAAATATCTGAGGTTAAAAGTAACACTATTTTGGAAGCTAATGACAAACTACAAGTGGTGATTCAACTTTATACTTGATTTTCTTTGGATGTTTTAAATGAAACACATCCAGTGTGTGTGAATTGTTAGAATTACTTTTGTTGATTTATTTTATGTCTCTTTCTAGTGGCATCTGAAGCTGAAATGCATTAACCAGTATGCTCAGTGTAAATTAGGCTACAAATGTGAAGTGGTCCTAAATTACTTAATGGTGAACATGGGTGCAAATGATTATTTTCCTATGGCCTCTGTTGGCTTTCTGCTATATTTCCATTTTGATCCTATCCCAGTCTTTTATACTCTCTGGTACTCTCTCAGCTCCCAGTGTATTTGAAGGAGTGTACTTGTCATGATTATTCAGAGAATTTGGTGTTTTGTTAGTGAATGTAAGTTCAGTCTGACCTGCAGAAATACATCAGTTGAACATTTATGTGATCTGTCACAAACTTGGTCAGATATTTACCAATGCTAGTCGATAAGATATGGTAGGAAGCAAAAGCAGACAATTTATGACAATGAATGTAATATAGTAAGCTAAATGCAGTGTATGAAACTTGATTTTTCAGTAAATTAATCTTAAACCAGGCTGTGATGGGACAAATGATTAGTGTTACTGAAGCAGCCTCACATGGAAGGAAATGAGTACAGGTAGCATCCATAGTTGCTAGGTTTGTAGGAGAACCAAGATGTTAAGCAGTAATATTTTCCCTTGACTGACATTCTTCCAGTCTGCTATGGCAAATATCCCATATTTTGTTGACATGCAGTCTCGCTCTGGTTGAAAGGCCAGAGTATGCCTTTTGGGAATGTATCATAAACCTCATTATTGGCTGCATTTTGATGACAGCCAAATTTCCCATTACCAACTTTAGTATCCTGCATCAATGTTAGAAAGTTAATGATTATTGTGTGGTTACACAGCTGAGGTTTCTGCAGGGAAAAGAAGTGATTACCTGTCATTATGTCTGTGACCTGTTAGATAACCAGAATCCTGGTTGGTTGTAAAGTTAAATGTGGTTAAGAGAACCTCCTAACTCATTCTGCTGTCTCTTGACTGCAACATCAGTAGAATACGATGAATTTGAACTAGAAGCTGAATCAACAGGACACCAAAGCAGTGTAGGCATCTACTAGTTTTCCTGTTACCATTTTTTAAAACAATCCTTCCTAAAAAAAAAGAAGTTGGTTTAAATGACAATTGCATTGTACTGTAAAGTACTGATTTCTTGTGCATGTTCCAATTTGTGCCTTGCTGCTAGTTCATCCTGCAGGACATATTAAGTCTGTTCACAGCACTAATATATCTTCTGCAGACTTTCACTAGTCAGGCACATTATACATCAGTGTTGCATATGTTAGCACATACTTTTTCCTGGATTTGAACTTTTCTTGCTGTTGAAATTTCATAATACCCAGTCAAAAATTAGTTTTATATTATTGGCTTTATTGGCAAGAATTTCTCAGTTTTCTTTCATGAAGGCTTTCAAGAAAGCCTTTTTTAATGTTGTAATCTTAATCAAGACAGTGTGGCACTTGTGCTGGTGAGGGCAAACTTCTGCTTGATTTTATTTTGACTATTCTGGTAGTGTGTGTGATGAAGAATTTGAATCTGCTTTAGAGTAAATTTCTATTTATATCTTAGTATGTGTGTATTCAGCAGCTCTCACATACCTTTTCTCTGATCAGAGAGATTAGGCATGTTTGGAAGACATTGTAGTTAGATCTATGCTCAGACTACACAGTAAAAAAGAACAGAACAAAACTACTTTAAATAGTTTTCAAAATATAAGCCTTTTGGGTTTGATTCATTTCATCTCATGTAATTTTTGTTTTGGTTCTGTGTCATTACTGGTGTTCATTGTTAGCTCTGAGGTATATGCCATACATTGAATCATACAAGTAGTATACCATAACTATTACCCATGTGAATGGTAAATATTTAAATATATGTGTGCAGACTTTAAGACAGTATTAAAAGATGATACTCGATCAAAGAACAGCAATTAACACATATTTAAATGTTTTTATCTGTAACTGTAGCATCTGACAGCTATGTGCATTCTATCCCATACAGAATTCACTTGCACTTCTATAATAATATCTTCATTTTTCATCATGAAGTTTCCAAAAGCAGGCAGAATAGAGAATAGTAGTAAAACAATGAAAGTAGAAAATGTATACAGATGTAACTTAAGCGTATTAGAAAAAAAATGCTGATTTGTAGCTAAAATAAAAATTTGAGTTCAGAAAGATTTATATAAGAAATATATAAACAAAATGTGTCAAGACAAACTGTATCCATTGTTGACATGCAAAAATCCTTCAAGTCATATTATCAGAGTGTGACTTACAAGTTTTCTAACATCAGTATTTCAGTGATTTCAGTTTATTATGCTTATATAGTACAGTCTTTAAAAAACTGATTTTGATTGAAATATAAGTGGTAAAAATTTACTTGGAGTGTGTAACTCTCATTTATTTTAGTGATTCTAGATTTTGTCCAGTATAGTAGTATTGCAATATGAGTATTTAAAGTCCATTTTTGATGCTTGATTTTCTATTTCTTTTTAATGAGACAACATAATAAGAGGCAGATACCCTGTTCAAAGTGTGGTGCTGTAAATTTCGTTTTATAGATTGGGACCATTTCAGCTACTGAAACTAATTCCTAACAAAATGCTCTTTATGTTACACTTATTTAGGCTTTACTGTTAGAAAAATTACGCATTTAAATTATTTGCATTAAAAGTGTCTCTGTCTTGCACCCTCTATGGGTCAAAGGTTGCCACAAATACACAGTTTTTAGAAATATTTAATTTATTAAAAAAATTGAAATTGGACGCAAGGATCTCAATACAATTATTTGAACAACTAACAAATACTGTAGTAAAAAGGTATTTCTATAGGACATGACATGAAATCATAGTGAACATTTAGAACTATATAATACTGCAGCACATTGAGGAAGACAAAAGAATTTATCACTCTTTATTTGAAGGCTTGGGCTTTGAAGAAAGTGAAGTGGAATTGAAATTGACCAATTTAAGCAACACAATGTACTGAGTAAATAATTAGTCTTTAGTGATTGACAATATCAAT